ACTACTACTACTACTACTACTACTACTACTACGGCTACTACTACTACTACTACTACTACTACTACTACTACTGCTACTACTACTTCCACTTCCACTTCCACTTCCACTTCCACTTCCACTTCCACTTCCACTACCACTACCACTACCACTACCACTACCACTACACGTACCACTACCACTACCACTGCCACTGCCACTACCACTACCACTACCACTAGCACTACCACTACCACTACCACCTACCACCTACCACTACCACTACCACTACCACTGCCACTGCCACTGCCACTGGCACTGCCACTACTACTACTACTACTACTACTACTACTACTTCTATGAACTCAATGTTCGGGTGGGAGCAGGAGCGCGGCAGTCGGACATCCCGTTCAAGGAACTGTTCGGGTGTCTGCACCACGCTGCATTCAATGAGTGCATCATCAGCTCACACTGCGCGTGGGAGATTTTTCGCACCGAATTTATTTTATTCTGAACGGCCGATGGCAGGAGCGTGGATCAGCAGCCCGAGACGCAGGCACAGCCGTTGTCTCGTGGAGCGGAGACGGTGTCGCAGTCGAAATGAAATTGTCCAAGCCAGTATTTACATAGTACACAAGAGTCGGTACACACGTGCTTTGTGAACTTGATGTTTGAGCCACGCTCCAGGAGGCCAGCCCATCAGATGACTGGGAATGGAACGACTGGCATGACAACTCTAAGGACGAGCCGCGGACCTGAGATGTCTAAAGGGCCGAGTCCAGGAGACTACAACAAAGCGCTGAGGTGGTGGTCAGAGCGTTGGCACCACGCAGACGACTGGTCCCGCTTGCTTTCCCTTTCGCACGACAAACCCAGCGGTGCGGGTTCGCGGCAGGTATGGCCGTGGCAAGATGCAGTGGGTCCCCCGCTCGATTGATCTTGTTCGAAGATTGCGATGTGATGTTCGTTAGCAGCTCCCTCGCAAAGGTTGCAAAGACTGCCTCAGCAGGCTGGGTTTTGATGTGTCTTCGCTGCCAACGACCACCCGAGCACCAAGTTCTGGAAGGTGCCGCAGCCGATGAGGCAAGCAGCGCCAGGCGAAAGCCTAGCTGGGCCGAGAAGGCCGCTGTGCCAAATTTGCTCCATCAGCAGCTCGTGCCAACCAGAGCCTCTAGACGCTCGGCGTATTTTGCCGAGTCAGGAACCTGCTCCGTTGCAAGGGGCACCCTTGTCAACAGCATGTGCTGCAAGCTGTCTGGACTCCGCAGACTCTGTGTGCAAGGCGGCAAAAGGTTCTGGCACGCAGAGGCACAGCCGTTACTTGATGTGGTTGGTTTCAAGCTGCCCTGACCGAATAGAACCGGTCTTTGCCTGAAGGAAGCTCACAAGCCTTTGTCAAAGTTCACGAATGCCGACCGGTGCAACAGCAAAAGTTCAGATCCTGCCTACATGTAATCCGTAATGTTCCCGCTGTGCTGTTTGATCAGTTTTGCATCATGAAGGATGTCGGAAATTGTATGCTGACAGCTAGAAGTTCTTGTCTGGAAGAGGAACACTGTGAGGCTATTCCTTTTGGTTTTTCGAAGTGCTTCGATTGGAGGTGGCAGGCCAAAACAAAGCCTCCTGACAAAGCAGAGGACTTGGGTGTGCTTCCAAATGTATGCGACAGGGTATCTTCAGCCCCCACCCCCTGAGATCTTTGGCATACTCAGTGAAGCGCCGTAGCTGTGTCCTGGATGGGAGGAGCCTTCTGCTGAGGCCCCAGAGCCTGGAGGCGAACACGAGGCCGGACCGGATCCTCCGAAAAGCGGAAGACTGAAAGTTTTCCCTACGAGCCAGGCTTCGGAGCTGCCAAAGCCAACAACTTGGGCAGACATGGCACGCGCCGCAAGCGAGAAGGGGCAAGGGCAGAACACGGAAGGCTTGAGGGTTTCACCCCGGCCACGTGTTGTGAAGAAGTCGTCTTAGCAGTCAGTATTTGGAAAGCTTCCCTTCCCCACCTCCCAAAACACAAGAAGACCTCGGCGATGGGGGTTGGTTTTCTCATGGCCTGTTGAACACTGGGTTAGTTCTTTGAGTTAGTCAGTCCCAAGATCTGAGAGTGTTGTTTTGGCCGACATCGGGCTCGGGTGTGCCACTAACCTCCTGCATCGCTGTGTAGGAAACTGACAGACACAATGCAAGGCGGTGCAAGGAAGTCACGTGTGATTTGCGTCGCTGCCCTTGATGAGCACGTAAGCACACCCTTTGTTGTAGCATGTTGTAGCCGTCGTGAAGTTGTTCAAGTGCTTGGAGGCTTTTGACAGAAAGAGCAGGCGCTGTACTTCAGCTACAGGAAACAACTAGTCTTGTATCTACGTGGCCGCCGGCATAGGAAGATTGGAGACGCAAGATCAGTCTCCTATTTTGCCTGTGCCTTGACCGAGGTACGACAGAACTCTGGCGACTGAACGTGCGGTTAAGGTTGGGCAGACGAAAGTACGAGTGCCAAAGGGTTTTACCGAGAAGTTTTCGCTTTCAATGCATTGTTAAACTGAAGGTCTAGGCTGCGGTGGCAAGTTGTTTCGGTCAGTCCATGATTGAGGCCTTTTGACGCCCCGCTGTATGCCCAAAACTCTGCAACACACTTCAAAGGGCTCCAAGGTTGTATACAATGCTGAAAGCAACAGGTGTGGGCATACGGCGCTTCAGAACCAATCTTGCTGTCGAGCGCGAAGGTCCAAGTTTCACGGGATGCTTGCGCGGTCGCTGTTGTGCCAAAAGCGATGCTTCAAACTCAGGATGAGAATCGCCTGAAGGGCCTTAGGTGTTCATACTGTTTAGTCTGTAAGGTGAAACGGGCAAGCCTTGCCTTGCCTGTCTCATTTTGGCATGAGTAGAGTCACTAGAGCTGAGGCATGGCAAAGACCCCTAGGCTCCAATCAGACTGGTGGCGTGCCGAACATCATCAGCCCATGACTAAGCCAGAATCTCGGTGCTTTTGACTATCTGACTGTGATGCGGGTGCAGGCGACTTCGGCCCAAGCAAGTGTTGACGCCTGGTAATAGAAAGTGTATATATATATATATAAACATAATGCATGTGCGCGTATATATATATATATACATATATATATATATATATTATCGTTCTTCCTCTTATTGTTCTCATTATTGTTATTCTAGTCATATGTATATTGGTACTCCATGGTAGCGTTGGCAAGATGGAGGTTGCTGGGAGACAGGAATTGGATGAAACTGCCTGGCTTGCTGCAGCTGGAGTTCTTCAAGGCCTCCTGGCCGCGAAGCTTCTATGGAATGTAAGGGGGCACAGAAAGAAGATGCTTTCCAGCATGGTGCAGGCAGTCGCCAGATACGGCAGATATATTTTGGGCCTGCCTCGGAGAGTATTTTGCAAGGGCATCGACACCACGGCCGACACCGATGAACTGCTAGTCGCAAGCGAGGTCTCCAAGCTGCGCCTGAGTATCGCTCGCAGGTATTCACTACTCCTGACATTTCTTGCATGTGTCTTACTCGCGATGGTGCAGTGGAACATCATTTTCAAAAGGCCTCGATGGATGACAGATGCTTTCTCCTGGCTTATTGTCGGGTGCTTCGCTTCCCTAGTCTTTACTCAGCTCTTCCCTTGCCTGTTGTCAGTGTACACGTTGGACTTCTGGTACCTTTTGGGAAGCGCCAGCTTGGCGTGCTGCCTTTGGCCTCCGTTTGTGTCTGCGGAATACCTAACTGCCGTTTCCGGAGTAGTGCTGGTGGTCTATCGTCTGCCCGCCGCAATAATGACGCATCATTACTTTTTCGTTCTTCTTGCAAACTCGGTCAGCGTTTTCATGACCTACCTTCGTACGGTACTTGATGATCACGAAGAAGCCGTAGTCTGGGCCTTGCACGGTGAGGTGATCTGCACATTGGCAGTGGTGATTCTGTCATTCATCATGCGGTCCGCGTTGGAGCGCTTTGCCGAACAGTTTGTCAGAGGCACGAAGGCGACCACTGAACTGAACGCAGCTTCGGCCCTGCTTGAGCTGACGTGTGATGCCGTGTTGGAGCTTCATGAAGACTTGACGGTCGCGACCTGCTCTCCGCAACTGGCTGCCATGTTGCTGCGAGGCCAAGGCCTTTGCATGGCGGGCTTGAGCTTTACAGACTTTGTTGCTGGCTCCGTCTCTGACAAGCAGCGTGCTGCTGAAATTCTGAGCGACTGCGAGCCGGGAAGCGAAAGGAAGGAAAGGACGGTGTCGGCAAGGGCATTCCACACCCGACTGGTGGATGCATGTGGAAGCAAGTTTCGCACAGAGGTCTTTCAGGTAAGCTACCACAAGTTAGATGGTAGCATACATCACCTGCTGGGCCTGCGGGATTTTACGGATCAAAAGAGTATTGCCAGCAACGCAGTTGATGCGATTTCAGAAGGAGAAGACAGCCGGCAGGAGGAAATGCTTCAGCCAGCTTCGCGGTCCAGTCGACTTGGGTTGCTGGAAGTTGACATTGACTTCATGCAAGTCTGTGCGGCTTCTGCACCGCTCGGATGTCTTGCGGGCAAGGCATTGACAGATGTGTTCTCTGCTGCTACTTCCAAGAGACTGAAGCGACTTTGGGACGAAGTCCTGCTCATAGAGGCTAGAGGTGAGCTCGCGCAGAAGGTCTTGCCTTTTGGCACAATTGACTTGCGTTTGAGTTCCTCGAAGATGCTATCGGTCAGTGGCACTACAGAGGTGATCAGAACTTCGACCGGTGAACTGGAGTTTTTTTTGTGCTTCAGCATGCCGCCTTCCTTTCTCCCCTCCTTGCGGTCGATTCGACGATCTTCCAGAGGATCTCACCAGAGCGGAGATAGCGACTACTCGACTGACTCAGGGAATTTTGATATTGAAAGTGCACGAAGTGCACACAGATCGTCTCATGCATATTCCCTCTAAGGGAACTCTGACTTGGGCTGCGACCTCACGGCATTCCTCAAGAAATTCGCTGCACATGTCTTTCAAAGGAACTATTGAACAATTTTGAAAGAAGATAACTAAGCAATGACATGATAAAGGTAAACATAGTTTCAATCATAGGTGGTGAAATCAAATCTAAAAGTTTTGTATTTTCAATTCATTAGTTGTAGGTTTTAGTATGGGAATCCCCGGACTCGAAGTTTCCTAACTTTGGGGGGATCCTTTGATTAGTCCCCGTACTAATCGAATATGCCTGCTTGCTCACAATTTTGTTATGTCGTGAACTTTTCCGACCTAAATGTTTTATCTACAAACCGAAATCTTGAAATCTGAAATGTGACTTGTGGGCGAGGGTGTCTGTGTCGTGGGGAGTGTTGCAGAGTGGCGGGCGACAATCTCTCGAGGTGTGTTAGGGCAGCGGAGTCGTAGGGCGTATCCCTTGTGGGGTGGCGGGCGAACACGTCAGTGTCGCGGAGTGGAGGGTGAGGTTGGGTGAGTAGGTGGGCGGGTGTGTGGAGTCGGGATCCGTGGGGAAGGGGGAGCGTTTATGGTGGAGAAGGGGTGGAGTGGGGCGGGAAGAAACGAGGGAGTGGGGAGTGCGGAGTTGTGGCCGAAGGTCTCGGCGTTGGGGGAGGCGGAAATTTTAGAGATATGAGGGTTATTCTAAAGGTATATATCTATAATTTAAGGTAATATAAAAAGGTTTAAAAGGTCTATAAAAGATTTGATAAATTAGATACAAAAAATTATTTTTTCACGAATTATATATATTATATTATATAAATATATCTTGCTTAATATCTTCAAATGATTGAATTCTTTATAAATCTTTGATCTAAATCTTTTGACCCGAGAATCGAATTTATGATACCTCCTAAGAGATAATTTTTTTTATTGCCGAGATTGAATTATTTTATTTTAATATTATTTATGCCTCTATCCCTTGTAGAATTGAATTTCAGATTTATCGTTATAATTTCTATGAGGCGAATATCTAACTTGATCGAATTATTAATATGAATCTTGACTAACTTAAAGACTCGCTATCTAGAAGGTGCATGGATTAAGGATTGATATTTAAAAATAATTATTGGATTCTCTTACGATATAATATATAATATATAGTAAAGGAGACTTATGGAGCGTGAGGGATTATCGGTATAATAAATGATCATGCTCTGTAAATTTGAGCCCAGGAGTTGCCCTGAAGGCACTAGGCCGCTACAACTACTACTCTACTATTACTACTACTACTCCTACTGCTGCTACTACGACATTATTATTATTGCTACTGCTACTTCTACTACTATTGCAAAACTACTACTATTGCTATTCCTACTACTGCTGCTACTACTACCACTATTACGACTACCACTGCCGCTACCAATACTGCTACTGCAATAGCTATTA